TCAGTAATGCCAGATAAGTAAGCTTTGAAGGTCTACTATATAGCATAGTGCCTATAGCTAACAATATCATATTCTATACTTAAAATTTTCTCACATTAAGTGTTCTTATCACACACACATACAAATGATAATAATAATAAAAGGGGTGGGAGGAATCTTGGGAAGATGATGGATGAGTGTGTAGCCTTGACAGTGGTAATGGTATCGCAGGTGTATACTTGTTCCTAAATTCATAGAGTTGTATGGATTACATATGTACAGCTTTTACACATCAATCCTACCTCAGTATAAAGTGGTTTAAAAATAGCAACACCTAGCTAAACGTGGGACATGGCAGTTTAGAGAGGAGAAATTTATCTTTGAAGTTCCTATACTAGTCTCTAAATAAATGTTATATCTGAAAAAATGATTAAAAAACGTTTAAAATGACGAAGCTTGTTTTAGATCTCTGTGGGTGCCTAGTACTTCAGACACATCTTCCCTAATATTTTCTTACATTTGGGAACTTAATAAACATTTTAAAAAGATCCTTTATAGCCGTAAAAATTATATTTCCCATATCCCTCCATAATCGCCTACCAATTTTCTTCTTGGAACCATTCCAGTGAGCTTGAGGGGAGATGTATCTCTAGATCTACTTAAGTTCTTGACTTTCTTTTTTCATTGAGCTGTGGGGGTCTCCTTGGAGGTTGACTCAGGGTTGCCCTGAAACTTGTTCTTCCTCTCTTTTCTGCTCCCTTCTGCTAGCATCACCAGCCTCCCAGGAGCTCAGCCCAGACTCCTATGTGACTCATCTGTCCATTTCCCATATCTCCTACATCTTGTCAGTTGAATATTTCAGTTGATTGAGTGTCCTCAGTATCTCTCAAATTCATCTTTTATTTCCATTACCACTGACCATATCAGGCCCTTGTGATTTAAAGTGGACTGTTGTAAAACCTTTTAAACAATTCCTATATCCACAGGATTTCTCTATTCTCATCCATCCTACAGAGAGGAAAGGCCAGGTTTTCTTCTACTTTGAAATCTCAGCCCTTAGTCCAGAGCAGGAAACATGAAAGACAGACAATAAATGCTTATTAAATGAGTCCTGGCTATATTGTCTCTCTCTTCAAGAGCCTGTGATGGTCTCCTGTTGCCCACAAGTTGAATCTCTCCTCAGCCTGGTGTCACTGTACATCAATCAGTTTTCCCTTCCATGTGATTTCCCACACCATCCAGTGATGCACCCTCTTGTGACTAGTCACCATTGGGCTCTTGTTAATTTTTTTTAACATTATTTTATTGAGTTATAGTCATTTTACAATGTTGTGTCAAATTCCAGTGTAGAGCACAATTTTTCAGTTCTACGTGAACATACATAATATTTATTGTCACATTTTTTTTGCTGTGAGCTACCACAAGATCTTGTATATATTTCCCTGTGCTATACAGTATAATCTTGTTTATCTATTCTACATATGCCTGTCAGTATCTACAAAATTTGAACTCCCAATCTATCCCTTCCCACCTCCCTCCCCTTGGCAACTGCAAGTTTGTATTCTATGTCTATGAGTAGTCTGTTTCTGTTTTGTATGTATGTTATTTTTTTTTTTTAGATTCCACACAGGGGCTCATGTTGATTTTTCCATCCTCCTTTCTTCCAAATCTTCACTTGTCAAAGTCTTGCTTATATTTTCAAACTGCTCTATTGTCATCTCTATGAGGCCACCTCAGATTCTTTTCCCAACTTTCTTCCCTGTTCTCCCAATGATTTAATAACTCCACTGTATCACAGTCTGGTCTTAAATTATAGCTCTTGAGTGGATGGGGTTTAATTTTCAATACAATTTTGATCAATTGGAATGTTGCCCTTGAGCACTGTATTGAGAAGGATTCTCTTGAAGGAAGATGCCGAAACAGATGAGATGCCATACATGGGCACAGGAGAAGAAAGAGAACAAAGTGCCCATGGAGTAGTCAAACTTTGTTATAGATCCTCATGTGTGTGTCTACTCAGCTGAACCAAGTGCCCTTAAAGACATTTTCTATCCTCATAGCCTCTACCACAATTTCTGTTCAATTTGATCCTTAAACACGCTATTCCCTGGAGCTAAAAGTTTACAATCTAAAATGGCAAATGTGGCATTTGAGATATAATGTGAGAATGGACAAGAAAGTTATCAAGTGCTGATGAAATGGTCCTTGACGAATGAATAGGAATACAGGGAGAAAAAGATGGAGAAGGTGGTAACATCCAGAGGAAGTGAAATCAGTATCTTGGATAGTTGTCTGCACTCTTGCATTTATTACAGCATTATTCACAATAGCCAAGGTTATAGAAATAACCTAAGTGTTTATCATAGGAGGAATAAATAAAGGAAATGTGATCTATAAATAACACACACACACACACACACACACACACGCACACACACACTATGGAATTATTATTCAGGCTTTAAAAAGCCAATAGATGTTTAAGTCCAGTAAAGTTTTTTCTTAACTAGGTGTTGAATTCTAAAACAGCAAAAGTGAAAAATCTAGTATAGTTAAAATTACCTTTGAAAATTCTTTAACTTGCACATATAGTATAATATGCATTTTTAAATGTTAAGCCAGGGACTCTATAAATTATTCATTCTAAGCTTCAAGAAGCAGTGAGTAGAGCAAGAAAGCTATAAAAAATACAGATTCTGAGCATTCAAACTTAGAATTCAGTCTTTAAGATACTAGAGGAGGGGGTAGTGTGGGTAGAAAATTTCTACTTTCCTATAGATTATATTCCATTGTTTAGAAAGTAGTAAGTCTATCTACTTTTAATATTTATTAGTGGATTTACTTATTTTGAAACAATGTCTATAAAAGAACCTCATGAAAGGCTTAGAGCATACTAAGAGCTTAACAAATGTTTGCTGGATTTTAATTTAAATACTGCTTATTAATTAGACCCACATACAAACTGTTCTTTGAAAAGTCATTCAAAAGACATTGGTTGGCTTCCTCTCTTTTCAAGTGGGCATCTTCTGTTTGGCCCAGTGAAGAGCTGTCACTGTCCTGCTATTTATACAAGTTTAAAGACATCTTACGTGGTACTGGAAATGTGTTTTGAAGAAACATAATATTTTTTGCCCACCATAGTTGAAAATCAGTAACATCCTGTGCTGACTAGGTATGAGAAATAGGCAATTGCATACTTTTACTAGGAGTGTGAACTATTTTTTTTTCTATTCTACAATTTTGTAATCCCATTCTATTTAAACCTTTTTGGAACCATACATCCTAGAAGAGAAATGAAAGCTTAAGTCCTTGTAGCTTAAGTGCTTGTAGTGGCAAGTGCTGAAACCAACTCATATGTTCATCAACGGGGAAGTCATTGAAGAAATTATGTAATCCCACACTGTGGAAAATAATGTACCTCAAAAAAAACAAAATCTAGATAGATCCATATGTACTGATTAGAAATGTGTCCATGATATGTTTCTTAAGTTAAATAAATTATAAAATAATTACCAAAATATACTATTATCTTTGTTAGAAACAAACAAAAATGGAAAACTGAACTGCAGGAAGATTAATCTATATATGCGTGTATTTGTTTTTATAAGACCTTCAAGAGTGTGGAAGGATATACCCTAAATAGTTATAATTGGTAACTCCAAGGAGGTGGGGTAATTGGATGTTTTAGGGAAGAGCAAGACAATCATTTTACCTTTTACTCCTCTGTTGTTTGGAACCTTGATCCAAATTCATGGTGCAAGGAATGAAAAGAAAAAAACAATGAGGGAGTTGTAGCATGGAAATGGGTTGGATGGGATTTGGCAGCTCTTTGGATGTGGGAAGAGGGAAATGCTTGCAGATTTCCAGCCTGAGTGGCTGAGAGAAGAGTGCTGTCATTCATAGAAACAGGGGTATCATGAAAAAAATTCTTTTTTTTTTTGTTTCAAGAGGAGAGATGATGAGTTTAGGTTATCAGTCAAAGTTGTGCTGCTTGTTATTTTAACTGACAATTGCTCCCATAGGAAGTCTCATCTGGGTCTTGAAACATTAAAAAAAAAAAGCTTCTTTTTAGCTTTATTTCTATAGAACTAAAAAAGCCAGAATGTATCTAATATTTTACCTTATCCATGTATACTACTCCAAAACAAAAGTACATTTGGTTTTGAATTGGAAAAAAAATAAGAATTTAAAGTCACCTCAAATATGTGAAGAAAAGTTTTCCTGTTGTATTCAACGTGGCAGAAAGTATAAAACAGGACATGTAAAATTTTTACTATATGTTTCTCATATGTTATTTTAATATAGTTTTTCTTCTTGCAAGTTCATTTATAACCCAATGCCTAGTGTGTTGTTGCTAAAGGTATTCTACAGAGGTAGCCTTGCAAAGATTTTTAGTTCTAGAAATAGCTTGTGCACTTTTATTCCATAGAAAGCAGCGTCAGAAATTTAGTCCTTTTGAGAGTTTGTTTCTCACAAATACTGTCAAAATGCTGGTGAATTTATTTCTGAATAATTATATAGTATTTTATGTTGGGACTGAAATAGACATGGTAATCCATCAATATGAGCCCCTTTGCATAAATAAGTGAGTTAATAAAGTCAACTGAATAAGTCATTTTAATTTTTAACTCAGTTATGTGGAAATCGACTGCTCTCACATACCTTTATTCTCCATCTGTCGCTGACTTTTTACTTGAGACACTGTTTCTGTGTTTGTCTTCCTTAGTTGAATTATGTAGGGCTTTCTATGGGAAATTTTTTTTTATATTTATTATTTTAATCTGCATTAAAACAAGAATTCCTGTAACTGCTATGTCTTTATTTTGAGTCTCAAGAATTTCATGAATTTCAAAACCTTTAGAGAACTAGGTGATTATGATACTGTCTGAATTCACAAGATGATTTATTATATTTACTAGTTCTTAGAGTGCATGCTAAGCTATGTATGGTCCCCCATTGTAGGAAATAGAATAGAGATAATAAATTTAATATTTTGTGTATTTCTTGTTTTTTTTTTCCAGAAAATAAATACTACTGGAACCAGTAATGCAGATGTCCCTTTGGCCGATCCCGGAATGTACCAATTGGACATTACATTAAAAAGGGGTCAAAGTTTAGCTGCCCGAGATCGAGGAGGTAAGACATATGAACAACATCACCTGGAAGCTTATTCTATGTGTTTCTGATAAACTTTGTTTTTCTTGTGATTTCTTAAGTTAAAAAAAAATCAAGTATAATAATAATTTTAGAAGGTTGGGTTCAATGATGTGGCTGGAAATGTTTTCTGACTCCTGTGACCATGGAGGAAGAGGTTATGATGCAGGTTCAAAAACTGTGAACTAGTCCCAACCCAGCCAGCAAGGTCCCTACCAAACTGCTGACAAGTTAGACTCTGCATTTTATGTAATTGGTGACATAATCAGTTAAGTAGATGAGGCACATCTTTGAAGCCATATCAGAATTCACCTTTTCACAGAACTAAAATTCTTTTTGCTGCATACCTCTGCTCCGTTAAATCTGCTGCAATTGCAGACTTCTGGACTAACATTTCACCCAAACATTGGAGAGTCCCAATAAGTGATTTTCTGAGGTGTGGTTGGACCTGGCAATAATCTCATGGTGGATAAAACAGGTCTTTGTAAGCCAGGATGAAGGAAAAGACAAGGCAAATACTCTTTAGTTCCTGGATCCAAATCCCAAGGCAGTCTCCTCATGAACTAGCCTGGGATACATTAGGTATTCCTTGAGCCCTGATGAGCAGCAGGGCCAGAGACTGACCCTAAACTGACTGTGTAGCATCCTTTGCACATTTTGAAATATCAGCTCTTCGGGATGTGAAGATCTGAGGTCCTGAGGGCCCACAATCTCAGAGGAAGTTGAATTTGAGTGCACCTTCTCCCATTAGGAAGGAGGAGAGTCCAAAGCATTTAAATCATTGTCAGACAACCTGGAGAGTCTCCTGGATCACATGTTCTTATTTTTCTACCCCACCCTATTTGACATCCATACTTAAGGAGTGGAAGGGACCAAATTAGGACCATAGGGTGTAATTTTGATCTCCTGTCTCTACAAAAATAAAATAGAGAAAATGATTAATATAACAGTGGCTTTTTTAAAATTAGAAATGATACAAATAATATTTTTAATATTTAAGTAAAAACTACCAAGTATCAGAACAGTCTTAATGAATGAAGGTATGATTGGAAATGTTAAAATTTAAAGGGGAAAATTTCAAAATTAGCCATCTGGCTTAGTAGCAGCTGAGGACAAATGTTTATCATATTGAACTCCTGGTCTCAGAAGAAGTTATGATTAAATTGGAGGGAAAAATAATGCAATTAACAGTATTATTTTGCTATATTTATTTAACATTTTTTAGTCTTCAGAACTACCTTAATGACATTACATCATTTTATCTAAAGCAGAATTGAATCACGCATCAGGAGATCAAAATTCTAGTCCTAGATATGCCATCCCAACAATACTAAATACATATAATTACTTATTGTAGCATTTTTTGTAGTTGTAAAATGCCGATAAATAGAAGAGGTGGTTAAACATGGTATGTCCACACGATGAAATACTATGCAACTGTAAAATTAATAAGGAAAATCTCTAGGAATTGATATGGAAATAGTTACAGGATATATTATTAAGAGAAAAAGCAAAGTGTAAAGAGTATCAACATTATGGAGTGTTTTAGGTAAGAAAAAAGTGTGTATAAGAAATTATGCATTATCTGCTCATTTCTTCAAAAGAAATATCAGTGGTAAAATCCAGAAACAAGTAAGATCGATAACATATGTAATATAGGTAAGAACACATGTCAAGAATGTAGGATGGGAATGGGACAAAAATGGTAAGGAGGAAGTGGTATTTCCCTGAGTAAACTTTCCTATATAGTTCTAACTCTTTAACCATGGCAATACTACAGAAAGAAATGAATGAGTGGATGAATGGATGGATGGACGGATGGACAGACAGACGGACAGATAGATAATCTACCAGGATGTGAGAATATTACTATACACATACCTCAGGGGGATGGGGAATAAAACAACTTACTTAAGTGATTAAGTGAAGCCCTGTTTGGATTATACAGTATAAAACTCAAGACAAAAAGAACTATACATAAAGTACTGTGGCAACTAAGTAATTACATTGTGGATAAGGAAAGCCAGGTTTTTTACTGTTGGAGAAAGAAGTTACAAATGTGGAACGGGGACAGAGGATTGCAGGGAAAGCTAGAATGCACCTTGTGGTGTTAGAAAAGTATCAGTATGAACTAACGGTTTTTAATATATATACAGATAACACAGAAATTAAGATGGATAGAGATGTGTGTGTGATCTCTCTGCTGAGAGGGTCTAAAAGCCACCACAAAGGTGTAATGACAAAGTAGAAATCCATGCACCGTGGACCCAGGTCTTGATTTCTAAATACAGTTTCCCCAATAAAAAGAAGCAGGGCTCTGGAGAAATGGCTGATTGCAGATCTGAGGCAGGGAAAATACAGGATGAGCCTGGAACATTTTGCAGTGCCAGGAAGTAAGGAAGAACTCAAAAATTGATGGCAGAATGTCAAAACTAAATAGGAGCCAACTTAAAGGAACTCTTAATGATCAAAGCTGGGACCATTTCAGCAACAATATAAATAGTGATAATAGCAGATTATAACCCATAGAATAATATAAATATCTATGAGTTCATAGTGGTAAATACATAATTGAATAACTAAATAAGTGTGGGATAAGGCACAGTTTTTCCTTATGGTAGAATTCCAATGAACAAATGTAGATGGGAAAATAGAAATAGAAAATCATCTTTTAATAAACACCACAGTGGTAATTGTTATGGGCAAAAATCATCAATTGTTGCTAAAATGATATGTGTAAAATTATGATGAGAAACAGGATATTGGCATCATTTCAAAGTGTTTTCCCACAAGATACATAGGAATTACAAAGGTGAAAAAAAGTAACTTTGCAGTAAAGAAATGTGGAAGACACTATCTTAACAAAGTCATCAAAGTTAACATCAGCAGTAATGAGACAGACATCATGATACAACACATTGAGAAAGGCTCATCCTGTCCATACCATTCTTGTATACAATGCATGAAGTCAGCGTCATCATGGGAAAACATCAGGCAAACTCTGCCAAACATATAATGTCAGTTATCTGTGCTAAGTAACACTACCCTTTGGCCAGGGCGTTCAGTCTTGTTCCACCCATCCACGTCTGCACAGTTGTGAGTCTGGATGGCACTGTACGTGCACCACTGTCTTTCTTATAGCAGAAGATTATTCTCTGTAGAAGTCTCTGTCCAAAATGGGAATTTTTAAAGATAAAAGGAGAGGGTCACGTTCTTAAGCAAAAGGGGAGAGAAAATACTACTTTGTGGAAGTGAAGAATATCCCAAAGTGTTTAAAGTACAAACTGTAATCCAGCTTCACAATTTTACTCAGTTACCTGGCATTTATGAAGTTTTTATTTGGTAGATATAAGAGGAGATATATAAACAGAGAAAATAACCTGAGTTAAGTTTAGGATTGATTAAAATCTATCTTAGACCCCACTAATAAATAACGGATGGTGTTAGGCAGATGATTGGATAGACAGTACTAGATCACTTTAGAATTGTGAATTTTTACATATGTGAATTTTATATATTATATATATTTATATATAATTTATATACCTATAAGATAATTAGATGGAGATGAATAATTTGAAGTAAGAAAACGAACCAGAAAGCACTGCAGTCATGTGGGAGTGATAGTTTTGATGGCTTTAACTGAGATAATGAATGTGGAACTGGAGAAGGAAAAGAAAATGGGAGAGATGGTTCAGGGATGTCCAGTAGCACCTGAGACTGAGTGAGGAGGTTCCAAAAAACTGTTGAGATTTTTGAGGCTCATGGTGACAGCAGCCTTGTGAATTTTGGGAAAAGGTGAATGTGAGCAAAAATATTTGTATAATTATCAGAATTAGCAGAAGTTGCACTCTTTTCATTTATTATGTTGATGCCATCACCTGCTGCCCAGCAAAACCATAATGCCTGTGCCTTTTATATCACCTTTGCACAAAATAAAGGAAAGGAAAACTCATTTCCACCATCACCACCATTGCTAGAAGGTTGTTTGAACTTTGCATCTTCAGAATCTTTACACATGGTTTGCACTGAGGTAGGCTTAGCTGTCAGAACTGGCCATCATTCTTCCATTTTTATAACCTGTTTTAGAGAACAACCAGATAGCTTTTTGGAATGCTACTGCCTTTTCCCCAATTTTATTATATCTGATTTAAGTAGCCTGATGGACTAAAACACTTGTGACCTTGGGGAGTCTGACACATATAATTTCAAAGCCAGTCTCAACATTTTATTAGCAGTGCTTTGAGCAAGATGTGCAGTCTCTCTGCTGCAGTTGCAGGGTTCCAGATTTAGCAAATAAAAATTACAGGATGCCTAGTTAAATTTGAATTTCAGATAAATAAACCATTATCTTTTAATATAAATACATCTTATGAATGTAATCCACAGTGTAACGAATATAGACAATAATAGTGTACTATAATTATGTGATGTGATAAATATCACCATAGTGACAATCATATCAATATATAAATAATGTATATCAAAGTAACATGCTGTATACCTTAAACTTACACAATGTTGCAGGTCAAATTCAATAAAAATAAATAATAGAAATACGTACATACATCTCATGTACTATTTGGAGTATTCTTATACTAAAAAATTATGTATTGCTTATCTGAAGTACCAATTTAACTGAGTTCCTTGTTTTATCCGGCAGCCCTTTGACAATTGTCACGTCTACTTATCTTTTTTAATGCCATTTATATTTTAATTGGGTTGGACTTTTCAGGACTATATTATCATCTATCACATTTTGAAAGTAATGTCTTGACAGGATTATTTTGATTGTTAAAAAATTAAGAGCAATCTGCATAGATATGTCCGGGGATAGCAATTTTCTCCAATTTAATTTCTTGAAGGAGGATGTACTAATTTCCTAGGGCTGCCTTAACACATTACCACAAACTTGATGGCTTAAAATAGCAGAAATTGTTTATCTCACAGTCCTGGCATCCAAAGGTCAAAAAAATCAAGTT